CGCGAAGGTCTGCTTTCTTCTACTTCGCGTTCGCATAGTAGAAATTAGGAGCTGGGGGCTGTTGGCTATTTCTTCTTCGCGTTCGCATCATTTGCCCTGCGTTCATGTAAGCTCCTGCCTATTTCTCATCGCGTTCGTATCCATTCACTCGCGATAGCGAAGGGTCCTTCTTGGCAGCCTCAATTCTCTTCTCCGCGATCGCGACCCAATCTCCGCGATCGCGATGCATAGTCATCTAGGCAGAATAAAAGTTTTCCCAATCGAGGGTTAGGCCATTTTCACCATATTTTGACTTGTAGAGCTGAGTTTTGAGCGATTCTTGGTGGGTTTGTCAAGCAATTCGATTGGGTAAGTGTTCTTCACCTAGTATGTAATATATTCCATGATTTTATCTTAATTTTATCATTTAAATTATGTTTTGAGTTAAGGAAAATGTTGGGTTTTGAAGAAAATTTTCAAAATGAAAACAAATCACGATTTTAGGGACGAAATGATATTAGAATTTGATAATTTTTTTATTGTTGAATTCATATTGGAATGGGTGTTCAGGTTTTGTAAAATTTGTCGGGTTCCGAGGTACGGGCCCAAGGGTCGACTTTTGGGTTGATTTTTAGATTTTATCAAAGATTGAGACTTTATGATCCATAATAGCTTCTTATGAGTTATATTTGTGCTTTGAAGTTATTTTGGTTGGATTTGAGCCTTCCAGAGGTCTTTTCACTAGAGAAGTTCAATTTTAGAGTACCAGTTTGTCGTCATTTAGGTAAGTATCTTGCCTAACCTTGTATGGGGGAACTACCCCTTAGGATTCGAGTCTTCTATGTTGATTGTAGTCCGTGTATGGGAGGTGACGAGTGCGTGCTCGGACTCATTTGTGGAAAGTTGACCTTTTAGGGTTCTTAGGTTCTTATATTCACTGTGTATGAAGTTGTTCTTGATACGTTTGAGTTCCTATTTACTAGTTTCATGTCTACCTGCTTAAATTAGAATTACATGCTTTTGGATTCACTCTTATTGGCTATTTGACTCCTAATTGACTTAACTGAAAATTTTTACCCCTTTCACTGTCATGCTATATCTTCATAACTGCTTATCTTTATTTGTAATTATCATCATCTTATCCTAATATTGTTTAGACTTAATTGAGGTTGTGGTTATCTACCCGCTGCTTGTACTTAAGTGAAATTATTGGATATCCTCATAATTGCTCAACCCTAAGGGAGGCTTAGATATCCCATACCTTAGTTGACTCGCCCTTACATAGAATTATTAGATTCGTGATAGTTTCTTGTTGAACTGTGCATTTGGGTACGACTGTTACATGCTCATCTTTCTTGTTGAGTTGTTCTTATCATGCCTAGATTTCCTTATTGTGGTTCTTCTTTGTTAACTAGTTTTACCTTTTTCCCTGTGATCAAAGGTTCTTGAGTTGATCTATTTATCGCAACTTGTATTACTATCATTGTTGCTGTTGTACGTGCGGTTGTGGTTATTATGATGCACGAGGTTTCTGCCTTGCAGTTGTTGATATGGGGATTTTCACGAGGTTTCTGCTGTGCCATGATTACTATTGATATTGCACATGTAGCGTGATAAGGCGGAATATACATATATATATATATGGGTTGCGCATGTCGCGAGACAAGGTGGGAACATAATTATGCGCGTGTGGCGAGACAAGGCGGGCATATACTCTACTATTGCACACATGGCGAGACAAGGTGGGTTGTGTCAGGGATGGTTTGTGATACTTGTGTTGGCCTTGGGGCATTTTCTTGTTGTTGATATTGTGTAATGGTACACTTATTGTGTGAGCTTATTCTTATGAAAATTGTGAGGAAACATTGTACGTGTTGCCCCTTTGCTTTCCTTATGCTTAGTAGCTGGTTGAATCATGTTAGGACACCTGCTCAAGCATACATGTAGCTAAGCAATCTTATCGGATTAAGGGGCTTCCTTGTTATTGTTGAGTATAGACACCCTTGGTGCACTTGCCCTATATGTGGGAATGACTCCAATTGGTACGTGAGTCATCCGTGCAGCTATTAGTTGAAATGAGGGCACAAGATGCCAATGAAGGGTTCAGATATTGGGACCCGTGAGTTGTGAATTGTCCGAGGTTTGGTACCTCATGAAGTGGACTAAGAACTTGATGTAAAAGTAGTTGAAATTGCTGAGTTATTACTTGTCATTGTTGTGTGTGAAATTCTGGATTTAAATTATGTTCCATTTACTCTTTTGTGTTATTTCATGGTTTCCGCTGACACTTATTGTTCCTTTCCTTATTGAATTTACTGTATTGTTGGCCATATCACTAAGTCTTCTATGTAGATATCATATTCCATTGTTCATGTATTTATACTTGTTCAGTTAATTAGACCAGTGTGTGTCTTGACTAGTCCTTGTCACTACTTCACCGAGGTTAGTCTTGATACTTACTGGGCACCGCTATGGTGTGCTCATACTAGACTTCTGCATATTTTTGTGCAGATCCATGTATTGATCGTTAGTAGCTGTGCGGATTCTTGCTGAGGAGACTCAAGGTAAACCTGTCGCCGCATTCACAGGCTTCAGAGTCACCTTCCTATTTTGTATTCACACTGTTTTTACTTATTTCCAAACAGTTGTATTTAGAAGTTGTAGTAAACTCTGTAGAGCTTATGACTTGTGCTACCGGTTTTGGGAAATTGTAAATTCTGTAAAGATTTCTATATCGAGACTGTTAGGTTTTTCTTTATTATTGTTGTTACTCAGTAGATGTTAGGCGTACCTAGTCCCTAAGACTAGGTGCAATCACGGTACCCAACGGAGGAAAAATTGGGTCGTGACAGAATTCTTACAACTGAGCTCTATCACATGATTTAGAGTAAGAAGAAAGTGTGACAGTCCTCCTGCTTATATGTGTGGTGCACAACACATCCATAAATAAGACTCTACTAGACATGACTTGTAGACTCCCTAGGATAGAACTGCTCTGATACCAAGTTTGTCACGACCCAAACCGAAGGGCCGCGACGGGCACCTAGTGCCTAACTCAACCGAGTACCAACATAACGTATCCTTCATAACATAATATCATGGGTAAAATAGCCAAAAAGGTCGTCATGAGATAACTAGAATTAAACATAAGAGAATATTCGACATAGGATGACCCAACATGATATACAAACTTAAACATGTGACATACGTGCCTATAGGACCGAAATGATCATTTGTACACTCAAAACATAGGCCGACAAGGCCATAAAATCATCCATATATATTTGACATCTGTCTACAAGCCTCTAAGAGTACATAAATATCATAAAGGTCGGGACAAGGCCCCACCATATCAATCAATATATGTCCAAAGCATACTGACAAAATAGGCAACTCCGAAGCAAGTGGAGTGTTCCAACACCTTCTGCTGAATCGATAGCCTATTAGGAGGACTGTCAACCTATTTATCGAGACGTGTGTTCCAATACCTCCCATGTTTGTACTACATCCCATATGTTACCAAAAGTCATCAAACAGCCCAAACAATAATAATATAATTCATAATAAGCTCTTGGATTACTTCAACAACCATTTTAAGCGGCAAGCTCGATTTATGATTAACAAAATATGGTTTAAATCCAATTGCTTTTCCATGAATCTGCCTACGGCATCTACAACATCATACTTATTCTTACCATATCCTTTTAAACCCAAAATATCATTAGAATAATCTTCAAGTATAGTCCACGCGCCTAGCACCTTAACCTTTATCGTCAACCTCTTATTTTTCATGTTATCTTCTTAAATCAACTTAATTAGCACATAGATAAGCTTAACAACAGCAGCCATAACATAATCAAGCTATTTATAAAAATTTCCAGCCACAACAAACTTTATATATAGCCTCAACACAGCCCACAAAAAAAGATAATGATTCCTTATGCCATGTCAATTACTATCTTGTAGAGTTTCATTCAAACAACTAACCCAACACATGATTAACCTTAATAACAACAAAGAAAATGGTTTATTTACCCTAGGCAGTAGATACAACTTGAAATCCCCATCTTGTGTAGCTCACAACAACCCTCAGTCACACTACAACACTATATGAGTTGTATTCTCTTCTTGAAGTAACTTTTGTGTTCAAGTTGGTGTGTAAACACTTGTATTTTGCCTTGAAACTCTAATATATATGAAGGAGGGACTGATTATTTGATTAATCAACAAGAAAAACACGAAATATGAGGATACTTACCTTTGAAGAACCCTCCAAAACCTCCACATAATGAAGAACTACGATCTAGCAAGCATAACGGGATTTCTAGCATTGGATTCATGTTTTTATCTTAGGTTTTCAACCGATAATCATGGAGGAACTCTTTGAGATCATTTAGGAACTGTTTTGGACAAGAAAAATCAGTTAGAACGACTTAGAATTGACTCGTAGAAATTAGACTCGTAGATCTGCGATTTTGTAGGCATATCACCCCATAATTCCAAGTATATTTGGAGAAAAGCTCAGCTACATTTGACCTTTTTTTCAGCACATTTATGAATGTAACTTGTGAAAACCTTTGCCAACTTTTGTTCCATAACTCGCTTGACTTTAAACATAACACACGGCTATCATACAAAAAAAAAAAAAACTCATAACATAACCTCCTTATCATTTTAAGCACCCTAGTCTCACTCTAAAAGTACATGTTCTAACACTCCTAACTTGTCGACTTTCGACGAAACTTATTTTCTTCAATTCGTTTTGCTTCTAAGCCTTCCAACCCTCTTGGTACTTGTTATTTATGATCTTAAATATTTGTAACCTCCAAAGTAACTCTATTAACTTATTTTATATATTTCCAAATTTAATCTCAATTCTGAGCTTACATCAACTAACTTACGACTTACTCTCACGTACGAAAATATGGGGTGTAACACCGTATAAGTTTGTTTATGGGAAGGCATGTCACTTGCCGGTTGAACTTGAACATAAGTCGTATTGGGAGATTAAGAAGTTGAACATGGACTTTGAAGTCCCGGGCGAGAAGAGGCTCTTGCAGGTGAATGAGTTAGATGAGTTCAGGCTGCACTCCTGTGAAAATGCTAAGCTTTACAAAGAGAAAATAAAAAGATGGCATGATAAGCTTATCAAGCCGCGTCACTCTGAACCGGGCCAAAAGGTACTATTGTTCAATTCTAGGCTTAAGTTATTTCCTAGAATGTTAAAACCGAGGTGGTCAGGTCCATTTGAGGTGGTGAGAGTCACTCCTTATGGTGCAATTGAGCTGCACACTTTAAACGTTAAAAGAAATATTTTAGTGAATGGGCAGAGAGTCAAGCACTATTGGGGAGGTATCATTCATCGTCAGATGTCCAAAGTAATACTCGCTGATAAGTAAGCATGGCCCTACATAGTGTCGCGACATTAAATCAGGCACTTGTTGGGAGGCAACCCAATGTTTATCGCTTTCGTAGTTTAGTTTTTTCTTTTTAGTTAGAGTAGCTTAGAGTTTTTCTTGTTTTCTTTTTAGGCATAGAAATCATAGGTAGAATGGTCTGGGATGTGTAGAATGTATATATCAAGTGCTCGAGGGGGGGGGGAGTTCATTTAAAAAAATGGAATATTGCAAAAACAATGCCCGGGACAGCGCCCAGCGCTACCTGGGGTGCACAAAACATATTGCAAAAGTCCCCTAGCGCCAGGCCTAGCGGGACGAACTGGGCTAGGGGCAGGTAAGTTTAATATTTGTTTTCTTTTATTTTTTGATTTTTTTGTTTATTGTTTTCTATTAACCCATTACCCATAAAACACGACCCGAATAACCATATACACTCACATAATAACCCAACCCATTTCCACTTAAATTAAAAATCACTCTAACCCCTAAACCCCCTTTTACCCGTTCTTTCTCTCCCCGCTACTCCATCTCTCTCTCTCTCTCTTCTGCGACACACTCTCTCTATCTCTTTCTCAATTTTTGTAGTTTGTCACTTGCATTCATCTCCGATCCCTCCAGGTATGTTCCCCCATCTCCCTTTTCTATTATGTTGGATGTTATGTTCCCCATCCCCCTCCCAAACGATCCAACCCCAATTCCCCCATAAGTGGCTTTTTAGAACTTGTTTTCTACGGTGGGTGGCCTATTGTGCAACGATATAGGTTGCTAAAATTGGTTGTGAAGTTTTACACAGAGTTAGTAAACTACAATTCCCTCTACTTCATTTAAAATTTGGGAGGGACACCCTGTTCCACCATTGTTGAATTGAGTTGTGCACCGGTTCCACCGATGAAGTCTAAGTAGTCAAGTGTAGTTATATGTGATGTCGGGCTAAGTGTGGTATGTTTGGGGGTGGTTTTCCGTAACCAGCTTGTCATTAATGTTCACATGCGATAACCACACTACCCACACCATGTATCTTGTATTATGTGTGTTATATCACTTTGTTAGAATTAGCTAGTGTAGTGTATGAGTTGTAGAGATTGAGGACCATTTGTTACTTACTTGCACTTAAGGCTAAGTCACTTCACCATGTTCTACTACTTCATTTGTGTGGAATAGTTAGTGAATTTTAATTGTGTGGCATGAGGAAGTCTTGAGTACCCATCACCTTGTGGTGCAACATTTGTGCACTTTGAACCACTATTATGAGTATAATACATAAAGCCTTCAGTTAAGTGTGGGGTCATCTTTTACTCTTACGATGACCTTGGGCGGATTTCTTGATTCATTTGTATGGGTTGCAATGGCTCGTGATAGTGCTACCAAGGGGAAAGAGGCGGAGAAGTCCTCTACTACTGCCCCCCTCCTAATAAGCACAAGCAAGGTGAAGGGTCATCTCGGCAAGCTAAATGGAAGCAGGTTGCTGGACGGGTCAAGGAGAGCACCATCGGGACTACGCCCCCACTTGGATCTGGTTTGGGAGCACACCGTCTAGTGGTATCACAACTTTGAGCCATATGGGCGCGACATCTCTGAAATGGGGATCAATGTGAAAACTCTGGAGAAGAACTTCCCGGATGTGCTAGCCCGATTGAAAGATATGAAGATGGATATGTTCCTAGAGTGACCGGGACATGCAAATTTGAGCATGGTGAGGGAACTATATGCAAATTGGAATGGGCATCTGTTCATGCCGTGGGCCCGAGGAAAGGAAGTGCCGCTAGATAGGGATTCATTATGCAAATTCTTAGGAGTTGATTTCCCTTATTCGAGGAGGCTGCAAAAATTTGTCAAGTGCCCAAGCTACCAGGCTATTATTCACACTCTATCTGGCATCGATTCTAATGCAAAATGGACAAGGACTAAGGGTGATGCACATCTTGAGATGATCCGCTTTGACTTCAACAAAACTGCCAAAGTTTGGCAAAACTTTGTGCAAGCCAGACTGATTCCAGTTGAGCAAAACAGTGAGTGCACTTCAGCTTGAGTGTGTTTGATATTTTTTCTAATGACTGGGCGACCCATCAATGTGGGTGAGATCATGTTAGGAGAGATGGCCCGCACATGTTTTAGGCAAAAAATAAAAAGTTTCTTCTTTGGCATCCTGTTTATGCAGAATGAGAGGGAGGTACCTGAATACCCTCATTATGATGAGGTTGTGGAGGCACCAAATGGGTTTATGGACATTACTTACTTGTTGGAGACTACATCCAAGCTAAGCCAGGCTGTGCGGAATGAGAGGGACAAAAAATTTAACAGATATCTATATAGCTTCCTGAATGTGATAATGAGCAGGTTGGGCATAACGGATGAGGAGCGTATGCATCTATGCAATGATCTATCCAGTTGTTCAAAAGAAATGTTGGGAATTGCATGTGGAAGTCCCATTCACCCATAAGAGGAAGAAAACACCCACAAAGGCTTAAATGATGAGGATGATATTGGTGCTGACGTCACGGGGCCAATGGCTTTGGTGCCCCTCGGAGCGGATGATGATAAGCCTTGAGCCTCGGCTGGTGGGAGGATCCGAGTATGACCCTCATGGGTCCGACTAGCAGGGAGTTCTTCTTTCCACCTTACTTTGCTATCAATTCTTACATGCATCGGGGATTATGTATAATCTAAGTGTGGGGTGGAGGAACTACTTTATGTAATGTAATTGTGTAAAACTGTTTTTATTTTATTTTATTAGTTTTTCTTTTAGGAACCCATAGTAGACATAGTCTAGTTTCTAAGAAAAAAAAATCAGAAAAAGCTCGGACTTTTCCCGACGATGGATCGTTTGAACAGTTATCTTGAGGGATTAAAGTCCGATTAAAAATACCAAAAATTAATTTTTAGGATAGTTAGGTAGTATCCCTTGGTTTTTCTTTGTGCATTGGTTCTTTTCCAAGAGTGCAGCTTAAACCAGGTACTTTGTTTTTTTCTACGAGTAGGATAGGAAGAAAACTGAGTTGCTCTGAGGTACCTATTGACATGTTTGGTGCTGGCACATTAGGCTATGGCATGCGCTCTATCTTCCTGTTATATTTTATTTGAATTGTGATGCCTAAGTAATATAAATAGCCTACTCTATGATGCCTGTTCTCAACTATTTGACTTGTAAGTCACCTAGAGCATTATTGCTTAAAATTTCTCAACTATATGTGCTTGCTTGACTTGAGAGTTGAACATAACCGTCTCAATTGAGTCATGTTCAATGTGTGTGTGAGGAGTTGTGATATTCTGTGCTATCATGTGTAGTCTAGAACTTGCCCCGTGTGTTAGTCAAAGTGAAATCATTAAGTTATGATAGTCTAGGGGATAAGTAGGCGTTTCTTGCTTGATCATAGATGTGCTTGTCACTTACAATAAAATTTTCCTGTGGCTAGCCTCTTTGTGCCTATAGACCTTTTCTCTGGCACCCACATTACAAGTTGTATCCCTATTTTGTACTTTATTTGAGCTTATTGAACCTTTACCTCCGAAGGCACTTAGGTGCTAAAAGAAGTAAGGTGAAATATTGGGAAGTAGCTTTCGAGTGGAACCATGGAAGGGCCCTTAATGTGCACTAAAGTTGTTAAAAGTACCACAAGTCGATGAACCTTAATGTATGGAGTATGTGTAGAAAAATAAAGAGAAAAGAAAAATTGCAAAAAAAAAAAATACAAATAATGTAGAAAAAGAATACACACATCCCAATCTTACTAATTCATGCTAGTGGGGAGGTAAAAGTGCTTGATTGAAGAAAAAGGGCTATGTTGTGTACGGTTTGTGGCGAGTGAATTAGTTGAGAAGAATATGTGCTAGATTTTTGAGTATAGTATACTAAAGTGCTTAGGAGAGTTAATCACCATTCCTAAATATATCCGACCCGTCCATTAGCCAATATTACAACCCATAAATTCCTAATTGATCCTAGATATTACACCCCATGCTTTCGTACGTAAGAGTATGTCGTAAGTTAACTGATGTAAGCTCGGAAATAGGATCATCATTGAAAATAGATAAACTAAGTTAATCATATTACCTTGGACATTACAAATATTTAAGATCATGAATAACAAGAACCAAGAGTTTTGGAAGTCTTAGAAGCTAAACGAATTGAAGAAAATAAGTTTTGTTGAATGTCGACAAGTTGGGAATGTTATAACATTTACCTTAGGGGTGATACTAGGGTGCTTAATATGATAAGGAGGTTATGTTATGAGTTATATTAGTCGGATGATAGTCGTGTATTACATTTTGAAGTCAAGCGAGTTGTGAAACAAAAGTTGGCAAAGGTCATCACAAGTTACATTCTTAAATATGCTGAAAATTAGGTCAAATGTAGTTGCGCTTTTCTCCCAATATACTTGGAATTAAGGGATGATCCATATACAAAATTGAAGATCTATGAGTCTACTTTCCAACGCATGAAACCGTTCTTCAAAATATGACATTGGAGTAGAGATATACTTGTATTTGCGCGAGACTGTGCAGACTGGTAGGTGACAAGTAGGTGCATCACCTACTTGCTTAAATGAAGGGACAAAATAAATCCCCAAAAAGAGGCATATTGAGGGCGGCCAAGGGGCCCTTTATATGGGATCATTATCTCATATTTTCAACATAATATCATAAGCAAAGCATACGAGAAAACCCCTGCAACTCCTCCCCCCAAAATCCCACACAAACCCTAGGTGATTTCGGGTGATACGAAGCTACTCTAGTACAGAAAAACCCGGACAACTTGCTAATTTTCCTTTCTCCTTCTTGTAGCTGCATTAGGGAACTGATTTTTGATGAAGAGGGACTAGGTTTAGTGGGTTCTACTTATTCCAAGGTAAGTTTATGCTTCTCTTTCTCTTATCTAAGCTTCTGCGAGTTGTAGCTCGATTGTAAAGACTAGAACTTGCGAGTTTCGAAATAGTAGTATGCTATTTGTTGTGGCATCACCGTTGGCTGGTTGTGAGCTTAATTTCAAGTTTAATTCATGG